CACCGAAAAGGCCCTCTCTCTCGTCCCCACCAATCGCGCTTGCGATGCAGGTGGGGGCGTGAGCAGGGCCTCTCCAGATGATCGAAGAGATCGTGTGGGTTCATATAGAGATGCGGTCACGAAGGTAGGAGGGTCCCAAACCATTCAGTGCTTTATAGGTAAGAACCTGAACCTTGAATTGGGTCCGGAAGATGAATGGCAGCCAGTGGAGCTCCTTAAACAGGAGGGTTGACCTCTCCCTGTAAGGAGCACCAGTTAACAACCTGGCTGCCGCCCGTTGGACCAACTGGAATTTCACAGCCGTTTTCAAGGGTAGCCCCACATAGAGTGCATTACAGTAATCCAGTCTAGAGGTGACTAAGGCGTGGACCACCCCGGCCAGATCCGCCTTCACGAGGTACGGTCGCAGTTGGCGCACGAGTCTTAATTGTGCAAAGGCTTTCCTGGACACCAATATAATACTAATAATAATACAATATTATAATTATTTTATATTACATGTAATATTACTAATAATATTACAGTATAATGGTATAGTACAATATAGTACTATATAATACTAATATTGTGCTATGGTAATAATGTAATGTATTGTATTTACATATTCCTTGTAAGCTGCTCTGAATCCCCTTCGGGGTGAGAAGGGCGGCATATCAAGGTCGTAAATAAATAAACAATCGCATTTGCGATGGTGGTGGGATCGAGAGCAGGACCTCTCCAGCTGATCTTAAACTTTGTGATGGTTCGTAACGGGAGGTACGTTCGGACAGGTAATCTGGGCCAGGACTGTTAAGGGCTGTAAGGGTTAAGACCAGCACTTTGAATTGTGCTTGGTAGCCGATCAGCAGCCAGTGGACCTGGCAGAGCCGGGGGGGGGGGGGGGGCATGCTCACTATATGCTGCTCTGGAGAGCAACCTGTCTGCCGACTGTTGGATTAGCTGGAGCTTCTGGGCAGTCTTCAAAAGCAACCCCACATAGAGTGCGTTGCAGTAGTTTATTTGGAATAAGGGGATGCCGTAGAGGAAATGCAGAAGAGGCAAAGAGGCAACTCAGGAAGATGTGGCTAATCTACATCTTCCTTAGTTACATCTCATCTGGATTACTCACATCGCAAGTGCTGAACCTGACTCAGCCCATAGAAGATGGCTTTGAAAGGCTGCAGATCACAGGAGCTGTCTTCATAAACATGTCAGCGGCTTATGAGACTGTGAACCACCGCTGCCTCCTCCTGAGAAAAATGTGTAATATCACAAAGGATGGCCACCTCACTCACCCGCCTCATAGGAAACCTGCTACAAAACAGGAGCTTCTTTGTTGAGTTCCAGGGCCAGAGAAGCAGAGGGCGGAAACAGAAGAACGGCCTGCCTCAGGGGAGCGTGCTTGCTCCATCCACGTTCAACATCTACACAAATGGCCAGCCACTGCCAGAAGGGACAGAGAGCTTCATCTATGCTGATGATCATGCCATCACTGCTCAAGCAGGGAGCTTTAAGATGGTTGAACAGAAGCTCTCCGAAGCTCTAGGTGCCCTTACTGCCTATTACAGGGAAAACCAGCACATCTAAAACACAGAGATGTGCTTTTCATCTCAAGAACAGACAACTCTCTGCCCCGGAGGGAGTGTGGTGGAGGCTCCTTCTTTGGAAGCTTTTAAGCAGAGGCTGGATGGCCATTTGTCAGGGATGATTTGAATGCAATATTCCTGCTTCTTGGCAGAATGGGGTTGGACTGGATGGCCCATGAGGTCTCTTCCAACTCTTTGATTCTACAATTCAAGAACAGACAAGCATCCCGAGCTCTGAGGATCACCTGGGAAGGAATCCCACTGGAGCATTGCAGTGCACCCAAATACCTGGGAGTCACTCTGGACCGTGCTCTGACCTACAAGAAGCACTGCCTGAACATCAAGCAAAAAGTGGGTGCTAGAAACAACATCATACGAAAGCTGACTGGCACAACCTGGGGATCACAACCAGACACAGTGAAGACATCTGCCCTTGCGCTATGCTACTCTGCTGCTGAGTACGCATGCCCAGTGTGGAACACATCTCACCACGCTAAAACTGTGGATGTGGCTCTTAATGAGACATGCCGCATTATCACGGGGTGCCTGCGCCCTACACCACTGGAGAAATTACACTGCTTAGCTGGTATTGCACCACCTGACATCGGGAAAGAGCAGCCAATAGTGAAAGGACCAAGCCACTGACATCTCCAGCTCATCCCTTGTTTGGGTATCTGCCAGCACGTCAACGACTTAAATCTAGAAATAGTTTTTAAGATCTACAGAGACACTCGCTTTAACACCTCAGCAAGCGAGAGTCCAAAAGTGGCAGGCTCAAACCCAGAACCTCAACCAATGGCTGATACCAAATGAGAGACTCCCCCCTGGGCACACAGAGGACTGGGCGACTTGGAAGGCGCTGAACAGACTGCGTTCTGGCACCACGAGATGCAGAGCCAACCTTCAGAAATGGGGCTACAAAGTGGAATCCACGACATGCGAGTGTGGAGAAGAGCAAACCACTGACCACCTGCTGCAATGCACCCTGAGCCCTGCCACATGCACAATGGAGGACCTTCTTGCAGCAACACCAGAAGCACTCCAAGTGGCCAGATACTGGTCAAAGGACATTTAATCAACTACCAAACTCACAAATTTTGTATTTTGTCTGTCTGTTTGCTTTGTTCTGTTAGAAATGTAATACAATTGACTGGTTGCCCTGACACGACAAATAAATAAATAAATCTGGATTGTGAGTCCCCAGGTGTTTTGGCCTTCAACTCCCAGAAATCCTAACAGCTGGTAAACTGGCTGGGGTTTCTGGGAGTTGTAGGCCAAAACACCTGGAGGGACAGAGGTTGAGAACCACTGCCCTGGTCAGTTCAGGTCCAGGGTATTTGGCCGACCGCATCCCCTTGTAGAACCTGTCCGGGCCCCCGAGATCCCCTTCAGGAGAGGCCCTTCCTTCTCTGAGTCCCACCTCCAGCTCAAGCTCAGTTGGTGGGAACAGGAGAGCAGGCCTTCTCGGTGGTTGCCCCTCGACTCTGGAACTCCCTTCCTCTTCTTCCCAGGGAAGGCAGAACAGGCCCCTCCCTGCTGTTCTTCTGGCAGCAGGAGAATTCCTTTCCATTCAGGCAGGCTTTTCAAGGGGAAGGTGTTTAAGGTCTAGTCCGGGGGGTGGGGGGTGAACTCGGAAGAGGTTTTGAGGGATTTTAACTGAATTTTTTTAATGCTGTTTCTGTTTAATTGTGTTTTAATCTTTGTATATTTGCATATTTAAAATTCTGTGCTATTGCTTTTATGTCAAATCTCTTTGGGGAGATAAAACGGGATATAAATAAATATAAGGAGGAGGAGAGGAAGGAGAAGGAGAAGGAGGAGAAAGAGAAGAAGAAGACAGAGGAGGAGGAGGAGGAAGGAGGGGGATAAAGAAGAGGAAAAGAGAAGAAGGAAGGAAGAGAGAAGAAGAAAGAAAGGGAGGAGAAAGAGAAGGAAGGAGAAGGAGGAAAGAGAAGAAGAAGAAGAAGGAGGAGAAGAGAAGGAGGGGGAGGGGGAGGAGAAGGGGAGGAAAAGAAAGAGGAGAAGGAGGAGAAGAAGGCAGAGGAGGAGGAGAGGAAGGAGGAGAAGGAAGAGGAGGAGGAGGAGAAAAAGGAGAGGAGAAACAGAAGGGGGAGGAGAAAGAAGAAGAGAAAGAGAAGGAAGAGAAGAAGAAGAAAGAGGAGAAGCAAGAAAAGGAGGAGGAGAGGAAGAGAAGAAGAAGGCAGAGGAGGGGGAGGGGGAAGAAGAAAGAGGAGTAGGAGAAGAGGAAGGAGAAGAAAGGTGAGAAAGAGAAGAAGAAGGCAGAGGAGGAGGAGAAAGAGAAGAAAGAGAAGGAGAAGGAAGAGAAGAAGAGAGAATGAGGAGAAGAAAGAAAAGAAGAGGGAGGAGGAGGAGGAGATGGAGGAGAATCAGAAGGAGGAGGAGGAGAGGACAAAGGAAGAGGTGAATAAGAAAGAATGAGGAGAAGAAAGAAAAGAAGAGGGAAGAGGAGAAGATGCAGGAGGAGAATCAGAAGGAGAAGGAGAAGGAAGAGATGAAGAAGAAAGAGAATGAGGAGAAGAAAGAAAAGAAGAGGGAGGAGGAGGAGGAAGAGAAGTCAGAGAAGGCCCTTCCTTCCTTCCCTCCTTCCTTCCTCTTCTCCCTTCTTCCTCAAGATATACCTGGTTGGACCATGTAAACATCAGTTGACCTGTGTGTGTGTGTGTGTTAACTGAAAATGCAAGGCAGGAAGCTGATTGTTTGGGCCACGCCCAGGAGCTGGCTGAGCCTGGGCCTTGTGTTGACAGTTACATATTCAGAGAATGAGGAGAAGAAAGAAAAGAAGAGGGAGGAGGAGGAGGAGATGGAGGAGAATCAGAAGGAGGAGGAGGAGAGGACGAAGGAAGAGGTGAATAAGAAAGAATGAGGAGAAGAAAGAAAAGAAGAGGGAAGAGGAGAAGATGCAGGAGGAGAATCAGAAGGAGAAGGAGAAGGAAGAGATGAAGAAGAAAGAGAATGAGGAGAAGAAAGAAAAGAAGAGGGAGGAGGAGGAGGAAGAGAAGTCAGAGAAGGCCCTTCCTTCCTTCCCTCCTTCCTTCCTCTTCTCCCTTCTTCCTCAAGATATACCTGGTTGGACCATGTAAACATCAGTTGACCTGTGTGTGTGTGTGTGTTAACTGAAAATGCAAGGCAGGAAGCTGATAGGTTGGGCCACGCCCAGGAGCTGGCTGAGCCTGGGCCTTGTGTCAACAGTTACATATTCAGAGAATGAGGAGAAGAAAGAAAAGAAGAGGGAGGAGGAGGAGAAGGAGGAAGAAGGTGGAGAAGAGGAAGGAGGAGAAAGAGGAGGAGAAAGAGGAGGAGAAGAAGAAGGAAGAGAAGAAAGCAAAGAAGGCGGGTCCCTCAGGGGGAACGGGCCCGGCTCCTTCCCTTCCCTTCCCCTTCTTCTCCTTCTTCTTCCCGCAGAGGCATACATACCCTCCCTGTGTTTCCTTCCTTCCTTCCTTCCTTCCTTCGCTCTCTCTCTCTGTGTCTCTCCTTCTCGGTGTCTCCCGCCGCCTTCCTTCCGGCCTCACACAGCAATGGCGGACGGAGAAGACTCCCGCCTCACTCCTTCTTCGCCGGAGCCGCCCCTCGCCCTCCCATTGGCTGCGCCCCTGAAGCCCCGCCCTCCCGCCCGCCCACGGGACGCCCCATTGGCCGCCCTTCAGCTTTGATTGACGGGTTGCGAGGAGAAGGAGAGCGGCCTCTGCCGGCAGAGAGAGGAAAAGAAGAAGGAGGAGAGGAGGAGGAGGAGCCCCCTCTGGCCCCGCCCCCTTTGCGGCGCGGCTGGGGAGGGCGACGTCACCGCAGGCCCCGCCCCCTCCATTTCCTCCCAGAGAGAGAGCTCAAGGCCCTCCTGACCCCTCCCTTTCTGTCCCTTGGCCTTCCTCTCCTTCCTTCCTTCCCTCTTCCTTCCTTCTTCCCTCTTTCTTTTTCCTTCCCTTCCTTCTTTCCTTCCTTCCCTTTCCTTCTTTCTTCCTTTCCTCTTCCCTCTTTCCTTCCTTCCCTCTTCCTTCCTTCCTTCTTCCTTCCTTCCTTCCCTTTCTTCCTTCTTCCTTCCTTCTTTCCTTCTTTCCTTCTTTCCCTCTTTCCTTCCTTCCCTCTTTCCTTCCTTCCCTCTTTCCTTCCTTCCCTCTTCCTCCTTCCTTCTTTCCTTCTTCCCTTTCCTTCTTTCCTTCTTTCCCTCTTTCCTTCCTTCCCTTCCTGTCCTTCCTTCGCTTTCCTTCTTTCCCTCTTTCTTTCCTTCCTTCTTTCCTTCCTTCCCTTTCCTTCTTTCCCTCTTTCTTTCCTTCCTTCTTTCCTTCCTTCCCTTTCCTTCTTTCCCTCTTTCCTTCCTTCCCTCTTTCCTTCCTTCCCTTTCCTTCCTTCCCTCTTTCCTTCCTTCCCATCCTTCCTTCTTTCCTTCCTTCGCTTTCCTTCCTTCTTTCCTTCACTTTCCTTCCTTCTTTCCCTCTTTCCTTCCTTCCCTTCCTGTCCTTCCTTCGCTTTCCTTCTTTCCCTCTTTCTTTCCTTCCTTCTTTCCTTCCTTCCCTTTCCTTCTTTCCCTCTTTCCTTCCTTCCCTCTTTCCTTCCTTCCCTTTCCTTCCTTCCCTCTTTCCTTCCTTCCCATCCTTCCTTCTTTCCTTCCTTCGCTTTCCTTCCTTCTCCTTCCCTTTCCTTTCTTCTTTCCTCCCTTCTTTCCTTCCTTCTTCCTTCCTTTCCTTCCTTCCTTTCCCTCTTTCCTTCCTTCCCTTCCTTCCTTCCATCTTTCCTTCCATCTTTCTTCCTTCCTTCCTTCCTTTCTTCCCTCTTTTCCTTCCTTCCCTCTTCCTCCTTCCTCCTTCCCTCTTTCTTCCTTCCTTCCCTTTCCCTTCCCTTTCCTTCCTTCACATCCTTCCTTCCTTCCTTCCTTCCTTCCTTCCTTCCTCTTCTCCCTTCTTCCTCAAGATATACCTGGTTGGACCATGTAAACATCAGTTGACCTGTGTGTGTGTGTTAACTGAAAATACAAGGCAGGAAGCTGATAGGTTGGGCCACGCCCAGGAGCTGGCTGAGCCTGGGCCTTGTGTCAACAGTTACATATTCAGGCTGCCAGCTGTGCAGAAGCTGGCAGGTCCACAGAGGGGCAGACAGGTTGGCTGCTGGGCAGCTAGACCAGGAAATCCCAACTGGATGCCCCCCCCTCCAGAATGGGCAAACCAAGAATGGGCAACTTGGAAGTCCCTGAACAGACTCAGAAGCAGAGTGGGCAGATCGAAAGGGAACCTGACCAAATGGCACGACCCTGCTGAACTTAGACAGGCGCCCTCCCTTATGGCCTTTCGTAAGGGCCTGAAAACATGGCTTTTCGAATTGGCCTTCAACTGAGTGCTATGTTATTGGAAATGACGACCGGAATGGACTATGACTATGAGATTGATTATGACCCCAGGATATGACGAAGCGGATTTTTAGTATAAGTAGTTGTCATGTAGTGGTAGATTGTGTTTATTGTCTTGATTTATTGTAAACTGTCTTTCTATGTTGTTGTACACCGCCACGAGTCGCCCTAGGGCTGAGAGTGGCGGTTAATAAGTGCAAGAAATAAATAAAATAAATAAATAAATAAATAAAAGAACTCCCACCTGGTGTGACTGTGGAGCGGAACAGACAACTCCCCATCTGTATGCTTGTCCACTAAGCCCTGCCTCATGTACAGAGGAAGAATTGTTGGAGGCTACAGACAATGCAGTCACTGTTGCCCGTTTTTGGTCAAAAGATATTTAGTCACTTGTGGTCCTTCTATTTTTTCGGTTTTATACTAATTTATGCAATGCTTTTGATACGAAATAATAATAATAATAATAATAATAAAAACAACAGGAAGATGGTCAAAAGATATTTAGCCACTTGTGGTCCTATTTTTATCAGTTTTATACCAATTTATGCAATGCTTTTGATACGAAATAATAATAATAATAATAATAATAATAATAATAATAATAGTAAGTTGTAACAGGATCAAGTGTGTGTGTGTGTTAAAGAAAACCTTATGCTGTTAATTATCATGTGCAGCTGCTAATGTAGGTCAACTAGTAAGTTTGGACCTCACCCGGTGGGGTGTAACTGTATGGGTTTTAGAATACAGTTCAGCTTTTGCTCTGAGGAGCCTTTGCTCAGGCATTTGGCTCAATGAAGTTGAAGAAGCCTTGTTTTGTGTTGCTTACACAGACTAGTTAAGTCGCACTGTTTGCTTTGTTTGCAACACTGCAAGTTTTTGTTGTATCTCTGCTGATAAGAGTCAAGTTTTCTGTTCCTTTTTCCTCTTGCCTGTGTGCAACGTTATTGTGTCTTCTGAATGCGGACCTGACGGAAACCCGCTTGAGCGCAACACACTCCACCTAGCAAATGGATGAACACACACACACATACGTACGAAATATTGTAATTTATGTATATATATATATATATATATATAATTCAAGGTATGGACTATATAGATAGAATACAATATTATTAATGGCAGTTTCACTGCTGGGGGTTCTCCTCCTCCTCCTCCTCCGGCCCTTTGACCTTGTGGTGTTGTCCCCTCCCTCCTGTTGCCCGGCACCTGTTCTTCTAAGGAATGTCCCTCCTTGAGAGGCTGGGGCGCTTGTCTAGATCTACACCGGGCAATCCCCGCACTCTGCGCACCAACGTTGATGGAAGCTTACCACACTTGCACTATCACAACCCAAGGATTCCATTGCAGCCCGTTGCTCACAATGGGAGTCTGCAACAGGTCTCGTATTTAGCAGGCCGCTAAATCTCTGCCGTCCATCAGAATGAGTTGGAATGCTGCGTATCTGCAGGAGAAACACCAGACGGCAAGCAAAGTGTACGTCTCCATCTTCCTTAATGGCTGAGATAACAAACATGGAGCATTGTTTATTTTTTAATGAAACTCATACAAGGTTTGAATGGAAAGCAATGCCTCTACCTTCGTAACTCCTCAATAGATGGCAGTACTGGTATGCGGCAGGTACTGCCTTGTTCAGTAGACTCTCCTCTACAGTTCCATTTTGGTGGGAAGCCTTAGCATTGAACGGTTGTGTTGTTAAAATGTGAAGTATGGAACCCTGCGCAGACAGTTGGTCAATGCAACTTAACGTATGCAGCATGTACTGGCTTGTTCAGTAGACTTGCCTCTACAGTTCCATTTTGGTGGGAAGCCTTAGCATTGAACGGTTGTGTTATTAAAGTGTGAAGTATGGAACCCTGCGCAGACAGTCGGTCAATGCGACTTAAGCAATGTATGCGGCAGGTACTGGCTTGTTCAGTAGACTCTCCTCTACAGTTCCATTTTGGTGAGAAGCCTTAGCATTGAACAGTTGTGTTGTTAAAGTGTGAAGTAGGGAACCCTGCGCAGACGGTCGGGCAATGCGACTTAAGCAATGTATGTGGCAGGTACTGGCTTGTTCAGTAGACTCTCCTCTACAGTTCCATTTTGGTGGGAAGCCTTAGCATTGAACGGTTGTGTTATTAAAGTGTGAAGTATGGAACCCTGCGCAGACAGTCGGTCAATGCGACTTAAGCAATGTATGCGGCAGGTACTGGCTTGTTCAGTAGACTCTCCTCTACAGTTCCATTTTGGTGAGAAGCCTTAGCATTGAACAGTTGTGTTGTTAAAGTGTGAAGTAGGGAACCCTGCGCAGACGGTCGGGCAATGCGACTTAAGCAATGTATGTGGCAGGTACTGGCTTGTTCAGTAGACTCTCCTCTACAGTTCCATTTTGGTGGGAAGTCTTAACATTGAACGGTTGTGTTGTTAAAGTGCAAAGTATGGAACCTGCGCAGACGTTCGGTCAATGTGACTTAAGCAACGTGCAGTCCTTGAATTCTTGACAGCAGAAGGTGTCACCCCAAAGGAGATCCATCAGGGAATACAAGCTGTTTATGGTGACTGTGTTGATGTGAGTACAGCATGTCGTTGGCCGAGTAAGTTTAAAGATGTTGAGGTGACACCTTCTGCTGTCAAGAATTCAATGACTGCACATTGCTTAAGTTGCATTGACTGACTGTCGGTGAAGGGTTCCATACTTTGCACTTGAACAACACAACCGTCCAATGCTAAGGCTTCCCGCCAAAATGGAACTGTAGAGGAGAGTCTACTAAACAAGCCAGTACCTGCCGCATACCAGTACTGCCATCTGTTGAGGAGTTACGAAGGTGGAGGCATTACTTTTTATTCAACCCTCGTACAACCACCCTCCACGTTTGCTGGGGTTTGGGGCACATGGATTTTCTGTGTCATTGAAAATCCATGAAGAAAGAAGTTGGGGTGTTGTGTGGTTTCCGGGCTGCATGGCTGTGTTCCAGCAGCATTTTCTCCTGAAGTTTTGCAGAGCATCCTCTGAAGATGCCAGTAGCCACCAATGCAGGCAAAACATCAGGAGAAAATACTGCTAGAACACAGCCATACAGCCCGGAAACCACACAACACCCCAGTGATTCCGGCAGTAAAAGCCTTCAACAATGCAATAAATTGTTTATAATTTTATCCAATAGGTTTTCCTAGAGAGAACAGCTCTCTAGGAGAAACTAGGTCTTCCAGCACAACTTTGTGGTCAACTTCTGCTGGATGCCGACCAGGGAATCCCCCTGGAAGACCTAGAGATCCCCAGAGTGGTGTTCTTCTGAGCAATCTCCAGATTGGGTTGTTGTAGGTTTTTCGGGCTATATGGCCATGTTCTAGAACAGTGGTTCTCAGCCTGGGGTCCCCAGATGTTTTTAGACTTCAACTCCCAGAAATCCTAACAGTTGGTAAACTGGCTGGGATTTCTGGGAGTTGTAGGCCAAAAACATCTGGGGACCCCGGGTTGAGAACCAGTGCTCTTGAAGCATTCTCCCCTGACATTTCGCCTGCATCTTTGGCAGGCATCTTCAGAGGTAGTGAAGTCTCACAACCTCTGAGGATGCCTCCCATAGATGCAGATGAAATGTCAGGAGAGAATGCTTCTAGAACATGACCATATAACCCAAAAAAAACCTACAACAATCCAGTGATTCCAGCCACAGAAGCCTTCAACAATCTCCAGATTTTCCAGCATGACTGGAGGCAGCTGACCATACAGCAGACCTACAGAACATAAGGCCCACAGGCCACATGCGGCCCCACAAAGGTTTGGGGGCAGCTCAAATTGAGGAGTTGCATCCAATCAAGAGAGGGGAAGCCTGAAGAGGTCTGGCCTCTTTGAATTCTGGCCCCTTACTATTGCCAAGTTGTGCAGGCCCCCCACACTGGAAGACCTAGACATTGTGCGAGCAGAGTTCTCCCTCGCAATCTCTAGACCGGGCCCATAACCCATCGGGTGTTTAAGACTCCAACGTCCAGAATTCCTGGCCAGCTGGACCAATGGTCAGGAATTCTGGGAACATGTGGATGGATGGCCGGAGGTTGTGCTGCCCTGCTCTAGGCCTGTGGTTCTCAACCTGGGGGTCCCAGATATTTTGGCCTTCAACTCCCAGAAATCCTAACAGATGGTAAACTGGGTTGTTCTAGGTTTTTTTGGGCTATATGGCCATGGTCTAGAGGCATTCTCTCCTGACGTTTCACCTGCATCTATGGCAAGCATCCTCGGAGGTAGTGAGGTCTGTTGGAACTATGAAAACAGCACAACAGAGAGGAAACAAACAAGGACATCTAATCACCTCTCAATAAAAGTTTGCTCTAGGCACTGTCAGGCCATTATATGCTAATCAAGGTGAAACATTCACACCTGGCTCCAGCAGACAAGAGGTCTTTGTCCCACCCTGGTCATTCCATAGATATATAAACCCATTTTCCTAGTTCCAACAGACCTCACTACCTCTGAGGATGCTTGCCATAGATGCAGGCGAAACGCCAGGAGAGAATGCCTCTAGAACATGGCCATACAGCCCGGAAAAACCTACAACAACCCAGTGATTCCAGCCATGAAAGCCTTTGACAATACAGGTGGTAAACTGTCTGGGATTTCTGGGAGTTGTGGGCCAACACACCTGGAGGGACACGGGTGTTTTGGCCCACAACTGACCTAGGCCTTCTGGCATGATTGGAGGGAGCTGACCACACACTTGGGCCCCATGTGGCCCCCCAAAGAGGGTGGATCTCCCACTGGATCTCCACTTAACCCTCGCCATCGAAGGAAGCAGAGGGCAAACATTCAGGACATGCCTCCTTATTCTGGGGAGAGAGGGAGGATAAGGGGGGGGGGCAACTGGTGGTCACATGAGAGTCTTGGCCAATCGGGATGGGGGGCCAATAATGGCCTGAAGTTGAGCTTCCTTTAATGTTGACCCTTTATTATTGCTGGTTTCTGCAGGCCTGCCCCACGGGAGGGCCCAGAAATCCCTAGGAAATGAATGAGCCCCCTCCTCACTAATCTCTCGCTCTTCCAGCGTGGCCGGAGCAAGCTGGTCAGGGAATCCAGAGGCAGGAGAAGGCCAGGAAAGGCCCTGCAGCCCCAGTGCGTCTCTGACTGATGCTGGGAGGCTTACCCTTAGGTCTGGGGGGGGGGGGGGGAGGCTTTTGGTGGTAAGGGAGCTGAGACTGATGCTGGATGCTACCCTTAAGGTCCTGGGGGGGGGGGGGGAGTCCCCTTTCCACCCCTCATGCCACGCAGACCCCTCTCCCTCCCTCCCTGCCTAAGCCCCACAAGTCCTCCTCCCTCTGTGGAGGGACCCGTCCTGGGAACGGAGGCGGTCCCTCCGGTGTCCTCGCCGTCCTTCTGTCCGTGGGCCGTGCTGAGAGTTCTGCCGGCGGGGCAGGGCTCTCGGTCGGGGGGGGGGGGGGGGGGGGTGGCTACTTGTAGGTCCAGCAGGCGGTGGCCCAGCCCTGCCCCTTGCAGAGCTCCTTGTGCTTGAGGAAGCAGCTCTGGACGCGGAACTTGCGCCCGCAGTCCTCGCAGGCGTAGAGGGTGCCCTCGTGGGTCTTCATGTGCTCCGTCAGGTGGTGCTTCAGCTTGAACTTCTTGTTGCAGACGGAGCAGCCGAAGGGCCGCAGGCTGAAGGTCAGCAGGATGTGCCGGTCCCGCTTGGGCTTCACCGCAAAGCGCTTCCCGCACAGGCAGCCGAAGCGCTTCCCGTCGGGGGCCGAGAGCAGCTTCACCGGGGCGTGGGCCGCCTGGCCGTGGGCCGCCTGGGCCAGGATCTCGTTGCCGTGGAGGTCCAGGGGCTTCCAGGAGCTCTCGGGGAAGGCCACCGAATCCGCCGAGAAAGCCTGGCCCCCGCCTTTGCCGGAGAAGCCGGACGCCGGAGGGGGCGGAGAGAGCCACGAGGGCCCCCCGGGAAAGATGTAGCTGACCTGCCCCGACTCCTGGATCTCGGCGTGGCAGAGCCCCGAGGGGCCCTCGGACGCCGGCCCCAAGGGCCTCCCCATGGACCCCCCGTCGGCGGGGCCCTCCCCGGGGTCAAAGCGCTCCTGTTTGATGTAGAAGACCCGAGGGGCGGCGTCATGGGAGGAAGAGGAGGAAGAGGAGGAGGAGGAAGAGGGGGCGCCCTGGTCCCCGCGTGGGCCCCTGGTCTGGGCAGAGGGGCCCCCCTCACTGCGGACGGGGCCCCGGCGGAGCTGCCGCCGCTGCTGCTGCTGCTCCTCCTCTTCCTCCTCTTCGTCGTCCTCCTCCTCTTCGGCATCGTGGTTGACCCGGATCTTCACCACCTCCCCCTCTTCCTCCTCCTCGCCCTCGGCTCCCCCCGCAGCCCCAGCAAGGGCAGCCCCCTCCCCGTCATCATCCCGGGGGCCAGCGAAGTAGTTGCTGCTGCTGGGGGACTGGCTCTCGGCGGCTCGGGGGAGGCCCCAAGGCCGGCAGGGCCCACCGTCCAGCTCCTTGAGGATGGCCGAGAACTGGTCCACCACCTGCCACATCTGGAGGCCGCTGGCCACGAGGAGGTGGCTGGGCAGGGCCTCCAGGAGGAGCCTCAGGCGACCTGAGTAGATGAGCTGCAGCAGGTTCTCAAAGGCCTCGGGCTCAATGACGGCCGGAAGCACCAGGCAGTCGGTGTCGTGGAGGAGGAGCTTGTCATGGAAGTAGGGCGAGGCGGCCGCCAGGACGCTCTTGTGGGCCCGGAAGACCCTCCCTTGGACGTGGACCGCCAGGTCGCAGAACTTGCCCTCCAGGCGGTGCTTGTTCAGCGACTCCAGCAGCACCGACGCGTACTGCGGGAACTGGATCTGCACGCTCCGCGTCTCCGCCTCCATGGCCAAACCGGCACCGGGAGAGGCTCCTCCTCTTCCTCTTCCTCTTCCTCTGGAGATGGCTGCAGTAGAGAGAGGGGGACAGGGGGAAGGAAGGAGAGAGAGAAAGGACGCTTATCAGTGGCAAACTGGGACCATGCTTCCTTCCGGAGGAATAATAATAATAATAATAATAATAATAATAATAATAATCACCCAGTTGTGATCGGCACACTGCGTGCAGTGCCTAAAGACCTTGGCCTGCACTTAAACACAATCAGCGATGACAAGATTACCACCTGCCAGCTGCAGAAGGCCACCTGACTGGGAACTGCACGCATTATTCGCTGATACATCACACAGTCCTAGGCACTTGGGAAGGGTCCCACGTGTGATCCAATTCAACAGCTAGCAGACTGTTTGTGGAGGACTCATCTTGTTGTGTTTCTAATAATAATAATAATAATAATAATAATAATAATAATACGACGCCAGGAAGAAGACCTGGTGGTGATGGCTCACGAATGGAACCCTGAAGGAGACAGAAGAAGGTCTGGTTCTTGCAGCCCAGGAGCAAGCTATCAGAACCAAGGCCATTCAGGCCAGGATTGGAAAACCAGCGGATGACCCCAAATGCAGACTGTGCAAGGAAGTTGATAAAACCATGGATCATCTCCTCAGCTGCTGCAAGAAAATCGCACAGATGGACTACAAACAGAGGCACAACTCTCTGTGGCCCAAAGACTGGAACTTATGTCACAAAGACCACCTGCCAGCAGTAAAGAGTTGGTGGGATCATAAACCTATAAAGGTAGTGGAAAACGAACATGCAAAAAGAGTGAGACTTTTGAATCCAGACTGACTGTGATTATTTTATTTATTTATTTATATATTTAAAAGTTTTGTATGCCGACCTTCTCACCTCTTTTGAGGGACTCAGACCGGTTTCCAACCATAAAATCACATACAGTCAGTAAAACAACGTAATTCATATTACAATAACACATTAACACAGCAAATATATTCAATAACTACAATGGTCAGTCGTCATACTAAAACTGATTGTACATAATCCTCCATCCATATCTCAGGGTGTTGGCTCACTCGTCGAATGCCTGTCTCCATAACCACGTCTTCACCTGTTTCCTAAATGTCAGGATAGAAGAGGCGGTTCTGATCTCCAGTGGGAGAGAGTTCCAGAGTCGAGGGGCCACCACCGAGAAGGCCCTGTCCCTCGTCCCCACCAGACGCGCTTACAAGGCCGGTGGGACCGAGAGCAGGGCCTCTCCAGACAATCTTAATAATCTTGATGGTTCATAGGGGAGAATACAGGGCCGGAGTTGTTTAGGGCTTTTAATTATTATATTTTAATTATTATAATTATATGCTAATCAAGGTAGTCAGTTGAAACATTCACACCTAGCTCCAGCTGACAAGAGTCCTTTGTCCCATCCTGGTTGTCATTCCACAGATATATAAAGCAAGCTCCTGCCTTGGAGGCTATTAAACAGAGGCTGAATGGCCACCTGTCAGGGGTGCTTTGATGATGCTTTTCCTGCATGGCAGAATTGGGTTGGACTAGAGACGTCCCATGGGGTCTCTTCCAACTATAATATTCTATGATGATGATGAACTTCCTTCCAAACTAAAAGAGTGGAAACTCGCCAACCCCACCCAACCAATGAAGAGAACAACATCCACATAAACTTTGAATAACTCACCAAAAGTACATAAATTAAACACGACACAAAATAATTAGTTACAAAGCATCATAAATTCTAATCAAGTGGGAGAGAGAAGGGGAGTACCTTGGGAAGTCTGACTTGGCCACGGTAGTCCACGCTCTGGTTACATCCCGCATAGATTACTGCAACGTGTTCTACGTGGGGTTGCCCTTGAACACTGCCCGGAAGCTTCAGATGGTCCAGCGCTTGGCAGCCAGGTTGCTAACGGGAGCGGCACTCAGGGAGCATACCACTCCTCTGTTGAGCCAGCTCCACTGGCTGCCAATCTGCTACCGGGCACAATTCAAAGTGCTGGCTTTAGCCTAACAAGCCCTAAACGGTTCTGGCCCCGCTTACCTCTCCGAACGCATGGAACGCCCTTCCCATGGAGGTAAGATCAGCCTCCTCGCTGATGGTATTCCGAAGAAGACTAAAAACTTGGATGTTCAAGCAGGCATTTGGTTAATTCGGTGCAATGAATGTGTCGACTACGGATTGGTAATATGGATGATGCAATTGGACCACGATTTTAGTTAGGAGATGTATTGGATTGTGATTTATGTGAAATATTGTGTATTATGTTTTTTTACGGTTTTAATTGTATACTGTGTACTGTATATTCTGTTGTAAACCGCGTTGAGTCGCCAGTTAGGCTGAGAAACGGCGGTATACAAGGACAGTAAATAAATAAATAAATAAATAAATTTACAGTTCTTATATTCCGCCCTTCTCACCCCGCAGCAGGGGACTCAGGGAGGATTACAGTAAACACATATATGGCAAACATTCAATGCCAGTTTGACAAACAACATTTAACAGACAAAGGCTATTTAACTTTTTTCTGGCCGCCAGGGGAGCTGCTGCTTTTCATCGTCCATCAACGACACCGATGAAGTTCTTCCGCATTCCACATTCCCCGGAGTCTTTTTTCTTTATGGCCTCATAAATTAGTTAAATTTAGCCTCCCACACTTTAAGGTGGTACCTTATTTTCCTACTTGACAGATGCAACTGTCTTTCGGGTTGCAAAGGTCGACAACGGGCTACACAATGGCTGGACACCCACTCCAGCCCGGGCTGGCTTCGAACTCATGACCTTTTGGTCAGAGTGATCTTTAATGCAGCTGACACTCAGCCAGCTGCGCCACAATCCCGGTGCTTCTCCACCTATGAACCGACTCGGACATTAAGATCGTCTGGGGAGGCCCTGCTCTCGGTCCCGCCTGCGTCACAGGTACGGTTGGCGGGAACGAGGGACGGGGCCTTCTCGGTGGTGGCCCCTCGGCTATGGAATGCCCTACCGGTAGACATCAGACCGGCCCCTTCATTGCTGGCATTCCGGAGGAAGGTTTACGAACAAGCGTTTGGCTAAACAGTGCAGCCGAACACAGGAAGACGGTAAAACTGAACATAGGAATGGCACAAGGATTATGAGAACGGATTCTGATTTGTTATCGAGGCGTTATGTTATGATATGATGATGTTGTGATTTTGTTTGCTGCCTAGGATGTGTTTTTAACTGCTTGGATATTGTTGTGATAACCTGTATTGTGTAAACTGCATTGAGTCGCCTAATTAGGCTGGAAAATGCGGTATAGAAATAAAGCAAATAAATAAATAACTAACTAAATAAATAAGGGGAGTATACATCAAGGTGGTGGTGGTGGTTGTGAAAGAGGTTTCCCAGCAGCACTGCGAACAGGCCAGGAGCGGGCTGGCCCTCTGCCTGGAGGGCTTGGGCAGGGCTGGATGCCCTCCAGGGTCCCCCCAAGGCCTTCCCCTGTGGACTCCATTTCCCAGCAGCCCTTCCTTCCTTCCTTCCTTCCTCCCCGTGGGCCCAGGCGGCGGAGGCTTCTGGGAGTTGGAGTCCAAAGCCCTTGGGAATGGGGAGGCGGCACTCTGCCCATGCTCAGAGGCAAGGGGCGGGGCCGAGGCAAGGGGCGTGGCCGAGGGCCTCACCTGGCTGGCGGAGAACTCCTCTCCACTCCACTCCCGTCCGCTCTTCCACCCGCCGGCCTTTCTTCCGCCGGAAGTGCCCTCCAGAACCCTGCCACGCCTCCCAGAGCGCCCCATCCAATCAGGACAGCGCCCTCCCTTGTTTGCCTCTCTTTGCCCCGCCCCTTCCATGTCTTCCGCCAATGAGGAGAAGAGGCGGCTCCTGACAGACAGGCGCCGGAGGACGTGTCTCGCAAGGCAGTCCCCGCCCCTCTCGCGCCGTAGCCTCCTCCGATTGGTCCCTCCCATGACGAGGTAGGCGTCAACGACGTGATTGCTACTCCTCGAAGCCAATCAGGAAAGCCTGATAGGCGGTGCTCCTTTCCGATTGGCTGGAACCTCCCTGAGTTGTGGACGGACCGAGGCCGAAGAAGGAGGGGCCCGCTTGTTTTGGACTCCAACTCCCACAATTCCTAGCAGCCTACCAGCTGTCATTATTATTAATAGTAATAGTAATAACAATGTAATACAATACAATAATATATATATATGGAAATAATAACATTGTAATAGAAGAATACTAATATTATTCTATGACATAATATAATATAATATTATAATATAATAATATTGTCTGCTGAGACACTGGAAGTAGCCCAAGACAGGAGGAAAGCAAAAGGAAATAGTGATAGTAAGGGGAGATATGCCCAGTTAAATGCGCAATTCCAGAGGTTAGCCAGAAGAGATAAGGAACTATTTTTAAATAAGCAATGCATGGAAGTGGAAGAAGACAACAGAATAGGAAGGACAAGAGACCTCTTCCAGAAAATTAGAAACATTGGAGGTAAATTTCAGGCAAAAATGGGTATGATAAGAAACAAAGATGGCAGGGACCTAACAGAAGCTGAAGAGATCAAGAGAAGGTGGCGAGACTATACAGAAGATCTGTATAGGAAGGATAATAATATTGAGGATAGTTTTGACTGTGTGGTGAATGAATTAGAACCAGACATCCTGAGGAGTGAGGTTGAATGGGCCTTAAGAAGCATTGCTAACAACAAGGCAGCAGGAGACGACGGGATCCCAGCTGAACTGTTTAAAATCTAGAAAAGATGATGCTGTCAAGGTGATGCATGCCATATGCCAGCAAATATGGAAAACACAAGAATGGCCATCAGACTGGAAAAAATCAACTTGTCTCTCTCCTGAGGAATCTGTACAAGGACCAAGGAGCAACAGTCAGAACTGACCACGGAACAACAGACGGGTTCAAGATTGGGAAAGGTGTACGGCAAGGCTGCATCCTCTCACCCAACCTTTTTAACTTGTATGCAGAACACATCATGCGAGGATGTGCGGGGCTGGATGAATGCAAAGCTGGGGTGAAAATTGCTGGAAGAAACATTAACAACCTCAGATATGCAGATGACACCACTCTGATGGCCGAAAGCGAGGAGGAGCTGAGGAGCCTTCTAATCAAGGTGAAAGAAGAGAGCGCAAAAGCTGGGTTGCAGCTAAACGTCAAAAAAACCAAGATTATGGCAACAAGAATGATTGACAACTGGAAAATAGAGGGAGAAAACGTGGAGGCCGTGACAGACTTTGTATTTCTAGTGCAAAGATGACTGCAGATGCAGACTGTGGCCAGGACATCAGAAGACGCTTCCTTCTTGGGAGGAGAGCAATGTCCAGTCTCGATAAAATAGTGAAGAGTAGAGACATCAGACTGGCAACAAAGATCCATTGCCTAGTCAAAGCCATGGTATTCCCTGTAGTCACCTACGGATGTGAGAGCTGGACCTTAGGGAAGGCTGAGCGAAGGAAGATCGATGCTTTTGAGCTGTGGTGTTGGAGAAAAGTGCTGAGAGTGCCTTGGACTGCGAGAAGATCAAACCAGTCCATCCTCCAGGAAATAAAGCCCGACTGCTCACTGGAGGGAAAGATACTAGAGACAAAGTTGAAGTACTTTGGCCACATCATGAGGAGACAGGAAAGCCTAGAGAAGACAATTATGCTGGGGAAAGTGGAAGGCAAAAGGAATAGGGGCCGACCAAGGGCAAGATGGATGGATGGCATCCTTGAAGTGACTGGACTGACCTTGGGGAGCTGGGGGTGGTAACGGCCGACAGGGAGCTCTGGCGTGGGCTGGTCCATGAGGTCACGAAGAGTCGGAGACGACTGAACGAATGAACAACAACAATATAAAACATAATATAATATAATATGATGCTAATAATGTAATATATTATATATGCTACGACTTATAATACAATATATTATATAATAATAATAATGTAATACAATACAATAATATATGGAAATAATAACATTGTAATAGAATGATAATATTATTCTCTTACATAATATAATATAATAATATATAATAATAATATAACATTATTATATAGTATAATATAATGCTAATAATGTAATATAATATATATTATATAGGCTACGGCTTACAATACAATTTATTTATTTATTTATTTGCTTTATTTCTATACCGCATATTTCAGCCCAGACAGGCGACTCTATGCGGTTTACATGATACAAATTATTAACAGTGTCAGTGCAATTAAAACGCAACACGTGCGACAAACAGGATCAACAACATCAATCCACAACAGTTAACAAAACAGAACAGGACAGTCAACACATACAACATAACGCCTCAGTGAAATCAGATCCGTTCTCATAATCCTTGTGCCATTCCTATGTTCCATTTACCGTCTTCCTTGATTGATTGCACTGTTCAACCAAACGCCTGTTCATAAAGCCAGGTCTTAACCTTTTTCCGAAACGCCAGCAACGAAGGTGCCTGTCTGATGTCTGCCGGTAGGGCATTCCATAGCCGAGGGGCCACCACTGAGAAGGCCCTGTCTCTCGTCCCCGCCAAGCGCGCCTGTGACGCAGGTGAGACCGAGAACAGGGCCTCCCCAGACGATCTTAATGTCCTAGTCGGTTCATAGGTGGAGAAGCGTTCGGAGAGGTAAGTGGGGCCAGAACCATTTAGGGCTTTAAAGGCTAAAGCCAGCACCTTGAATTGTGCTCGGTAGCAAATTGGCAGCCAGTGGAGCTGGCTCAACAGAGGAGTGGTATGCTCCCTGAGTGCCGCTCCTGTTAGCAACCTGGCTGCCGAGCGCTGGACCATCTGAAGCTTCCGGGCAGTCTTCAAGGGCAACCCCACGTAGAGCGCGTTGCAGTAATCAATCCGGGATGTAACCAGAGCGTGGACTACCGTGGCCAAGTCAGACTTCCCAAGATACAACCTATTATATAATACTAATAGTATAATACACTAAGAATATTTAATAATCTAATGCTATAATACAACTTAATGATATATATTATAAATAATAATACTAATAATGCATTATGATAATATAACAATATAATAATATATAATACTAATATTACTCTATGCTAAAAGTATCATATATATATACACATGTAATATACACATATAATAAGAATGTTGCAATGTAATGCAATACAATACTAGTATAATATATAATAATATGTAAATCATATTGCAATATAATAATATTAATATATTAAATATAATATGATTAATAATTATATTATATTATAATAATACTGAGTTGCTGTGAGTTTATAATAATAATGCAACATAATACTACATAATACCCAAAAAATGTCACAGAGCATAGCAAAAACCCCTAGGACCAACTGGGAGGGCTTTTTAGGATATATAAAAGGGCTATATAATGAGATACATATTAGTACTATGCACTAAGGAGACTTGAAGGTATAGCAACTGGCGAATACACTAATACCAATATAGGCAACAGAAAAGAAAAGGGGATTAAAGTATAGTTTATTCCCCGGTGCCTGACCAGCAAAACCTGGAAGTATTTTAAAATTCACTTGGGGAATAATTGTTGGTGTTGGTAAGTGTTGTTATTGACATGTAGTCGTATTGTATTCAGTGGTATGTTTGTTTGTCCGTTTGTATGTTCGTTTGTATTGTATTGTATTGGATGAAGGCGAACAAATTGAAATTGAATCCAGACAAGACAGAGGTCCTCCTGGTCAGTCGCAAGGCCATTGAACAGGGCATAGGGTCACAGCCTGTGTTGGATGGGGCCGCACCCCCCCTGAAGACGCAGGTTCGCAGCTTGGGTGTGACCCTGGACTCATCGCTGAGCCTGGAACCCCAGGTTTCGGCGGTGACCAGGGGAGCATTTGCACAGCTCAGGCTTGTGCGCCAGCTGCGCCCGTACCTTGGGAAGTCTGACTTGGCCACGGTAGTCCACGCTCTGGTTACATCCCGTTTAGACTACTGCAACGCTCTCTATGTGGGGTTGCCTTTGAAGACAGCTCGGAAGCTCCAACTAGTCCAACGCTCGGCAGCCATGATTTTAACAGGAGCGGAGCGCAGGGAGCATACAACCCCCCTGTTGCGCCAACTCCACTGGCTACCGATCTGCTACCGGGCTGAATTCAAAGTGCTGGCGTTGGCCTTTAAAGCCCTAAACGGTTCCGGCCCAAGCTACCTATCTGACCGCATCTCTGCCTATGAACCCACCAGGACTTTGAGATCTTCCGGGGAGACCCTGCTCTCGATCCCGCCTGCTTCTCAAGCTCGGCTGGCGGGGACGAGAGATAGGGCCTTCTCGGTGGTGGCTCCTCGGCTGTGGAACGCCCTTCCTACGGACATTAGACTAGCACCATCTCTAATGGTATTCCGCAAAAAGGTGAAGACCTGGATGTTTGTGCAGGCGTTTGAGTAATTTAGTGCAATCTGGTAATGGAATTTAGGAATGGAACAATGGACGACGAACCTGGACTACGCTTGGATGATGAGAAGATTGGGTACGGTTGTTTTTTGTAATAATTGTGCATTGTAATTGCTTATTGGTAATTTATGGATAATGTGTTAAGTCAATTGTTCTATGTTGTATGGAACCACTGCTGTTTCTACTGTTTTTACTGTTTGTGAACCGCTGTGAGTCGCCTTCGGGCTTGAGATACAGCGGTATAGAAGCAAAGTAAGTAAATAAATAAGTAAATAAATATTGTCTCATTGCACTAATACACCTCTCTCCTATCAGCTCTTCTTAGAGCACTATAT